ATTTTTATCTCTCGACGTCTTTTTTAAGCGCACGAGCCATTAGCAGTGTTCTAGGGCGCTGGTGAAGTTATGATGGTAGATAAAATTATGTTTATTTATTTTTAGATTTTCTTACGTTCAATAACGTACGTAAAAATCATTTGTTTATCTACACCTAGCAATTATGGAAAATTACATAACTTTGGACCAAATAAATTTAAATTATTTTTTTGTGTAACGTACATTATGGCGATGTAACAAATTTAAGTTTGTCTGAGGTATTTATTATTTACCTGTTTTAATTCAAACTACGAAGCATTTTTTTTTGATATTTAGGTACTTCATTATAATATACTTATTTGGCCTTATTATTTTTTCCTTGAGAAAGTTTGCTTAACACGATTTAGAAATAATCTAAATTAAGTTCTGATTTGAACTACAAAGATGAAAAAATATTGTAAAGTATCAAAATTCGTCTTGCATCTAGAGTAAATGTAATTTTTACGAGTTTTTCTATGAATCCGTCTCAAGGGGTGTTTTTCCGCTAATTTGTAGTACTTGTGTCGCTGTCAACGGTCACATTGTAGCTATTTTTTAACTTAGCAAGCAATTTTTTTATTATTTAGAAATGTAAGTAAAACATAATATTATTTCTAATAATATAATTAAAAAAAACTCACATTTGTTTTATAATTTTAAGCAGTTTTATACATTTGAAACATGTTCAAAGTAAAACTAACGCGTATTTAAAGTTTACAACAGAGCAGGTGTCCAAAAAAAAGAAATTTTTTACGAGCAATAAGAAAGTTTTCTAATAATGTCTCGACAAGTTAAGAGTGTCTCACCGCTAATTGCGAAATAAATTTTCAAGTTTGGCCAAAAAACGGTTTTCCTTCGCATGAGTTATGACGTCGAAAAAAATAAGATAAACTCTATGTAAGCCAGTTATCGCGCGTTCTAGGATGAAACTTCTTTTAATAAAAAATTTGATTTATCTACATACTTTAGGTAATCTTAAAATATATAGTAATTTTGTTTTATTTTCTTGTCCTTATAATCGACTTAAACTTTAGTGTATTATTTATGTAGTACTAGAAAACAGCTTAGACTTCGTTTAAACAATGTTTGCACCAAAATAATTCCTCAAGAATACCACTCAAAGAAATTAAAAGCATCCTACACGTTAATTCAAGCCATTATCTCTTTATTTGCCAAGTTTTATCAAAGTCCAATTTACGAATTGCGCGTGAGTCAGAAACAAATATCTTTACAAATTTTTACACCTATTAATATTAGTGGATTAGTAGGCTTCTAACATTCGTTTCAAGATAGAAAGATAGGTCATCATTAGATTACCCATATAAATAAAACAGAAAATTTGATTACACAAAATTATACTTTTCCAAGAAATATTCTAATCACGTGTCGCAATAAAATTGTTATTAGTCGTTAAAAAGAAGCGGTTATGAAAAAATCTCAAAACCTATTAACTTTAAGAGCCGGTCGGTCATTAGCACTTTTTCTCATCGTGGACAATTTTTCCTCCCTCGGACACTTTTCATAATTACCACCCCGGCTTCTTACAAGATGTTATAGTCGAACTCGCTTAAAATACAATTACGTTTAACCCCTTCACTTTCCAATGAAAAATTTTAAAATACACCAGAAGTGTATGAAATAAAAAATGTACTTTTATTTATAAACTAGCGACTCACCTTCGCTCCGCTCGGGTTCGTCCCTAGGTGAAATCTCCCTTCTTTAAATTGACGTAACCTTTTTTCTTTATGAACCGATTGAAAGAATACTAATACTAAATGTTAAGTGAAGCTTACCAAAATATATTAGTCAAAACCGCAACCAAAACGGTGAAGCCGTGTCTGAGATTAGCGCGCACAAACGCACAGACAAACCGACAAAAATTCTAAAAATCATTGTTTTGGGTTCTATTGCGTAAATAAAGACCCCCAATGATAGTTTTTCTCAAATATCTTCTATGTACAGACAGCGATCAGTTACATTTTTATTATATGTATAGACATGTATAGATACCTAGAGTTAGGCCATGGTTTTACTCATGGATATGTACTTATTACTTAGTATATCAAGCGAATGTATTTGAATTAACCGATGTGACTTTTTTGCATTCTTTTCTTTAGAAATTTTGCGGCTGCATACACAAAGACATATTATAATCTCATCGGAAAAATGTTTTAGGAGCACATACTTAACAAAAAAACAGACAATCATATACGTATATAGATCAAGTTCTGTTTAAAGCCATTTTTGCTCTTAACACACATATATTACCAATGACATAAAAAGACTATATCAAAACCAACGCTTTCATCCTGTACATCATTAAAAACCTTTTTAAAACAATATTTATAAGAGAGACGCCGCTCAAAAAAGTAAACCGAATTGATTTACTATCGCGATTCGAAAAAAAGTGTTGGAGATACATTGCGTGGTAACGTCTCGGATGTGAACTTAACTTTTAACTGGTATTAAGAAATTATATCTCTTTTTTATTAAGGCAAGTGGTAAAAAATCAGCACAAAACCTTTAATTGAAATAGACTTAGTTTATTTTTGAATGGCTGTTTTCGTTTTTAAATAAGTAGTTGGTTTTTAGTATTTTATATTTCTAGTTTCTAAGTACTTATATAAAAATTCTTTTACTATATACATTTGGAATTTACTAAAAGCTTAACATGTTTCGTCTCAAACAAATAAATATATAAAAAGTTAAAGCATTTTTGCAATATGTAGGTTGGATAATAAAAATTTTGCGTTTATTCCCAGTAATAAAGAGTAAAAAGCGATCTGAAACACATGTCCCGACTTAACGGACGTCAAAATTGTCTCAATTTAAACAGAAAAACAATTGAAATTTGAATTTCAAATTTGGTTCGCGGTGATTTTCTTAAGATTTTTTCGGAAAGCCGCTCTAATAAATCTCGAAGCAATAACGATAAATTCATTCGATCGACATGCAAATGTGGATTTTTTCGGCATCGCACATCAAGCTCTTGTTATGGACAAAAAATAAATAGAGCTGTTCGTCATTTTTAACTATTTTACATTTATATTCAATTACAACTTTACTAAGGAAATTATATTAAAACTTTTAAAATAGTCCTTATTATATTAAGTTCCTTTAAAATCAATTTTTCAAAGTCCGTTCAAATTGACTTTTTTTTTTAATTTTTTTTGAATACCAACATGCTAAGTGCTATTTTTAAATTGCAAAGCAAATGTCTTACATTCAAAAGGCTACTAAAAGAACGGCCGTTCTTATTCCGTACACTTTCCGCCCGCGACGTGCACGACTTTATTTTTTCACCTGTGCCTACACGATAGCCTGTTATTTAGATTTTAGGCCATAGTTTTTGTGACTTACGAAAAAGATATTTATTTTACTGCCAACTTCCTTTATGGCATGTAAGTTGACATGATACGAGTATATGTGAGTGAGTTGACTACTAATTGTTTTGGGGAAAACACAGGATTTTCAGAAAGTAACTATAAGCAACTTTTTATATGTTTTTTTGAGATATTCTCAAAAATTATTAGTTTACGTTTCATTATAATTTTTTCGCATGTCTAATTTAACTATTGTAATTATAAATAAATAATTACAATAGTTAAATAAATTTTCATTATAAATAATGTTTGAATGGACTATAGTCTGTAATATTATTTAATTCATATCTAAAAGTAAGGAATAAACTAAATAATACCAAAAAATATAGGTATAAGACTTATTTCAGATGCTATTATGAATTCTTTGTAGACAGTAAATACATTTTAAATACTCTTGCTATGATATAATGAGAATAGAATCAAAAATGATCAATTATCAGCTATTTTGGCGACATACTCGTAACGATATCGCTATCTAGAGCCTGCAAGAGCCTACATCGCGAAATCGGCGGGATATTCGTTTTATTAGGTTTTGAATCGGCTGTTCAATTTTATTTTTAAGGCAATAACTCAGTATAATACAGATGTTGCGTAAGTACAAGTACTTCCTGGGTACAACCACCTTTAACGCAGATGGCGCTGCTTTGACGAAAAAAGAAAAAGCCGCGCATCCCGATTTAAATAAATTGTTAACACGCCCGAGGCGTTTTATCGCATACAGTATTTTTTTATCTTGGTCGATTCTATGCGAAAATACTTTAATGAATGCAAGATGGATTGTACTAGATGTTTTATAGTTCCTGCAAAAAATAGCTTCCTCACCCACTGGTACAATAGATGGAAGATAACGTGTAACTTTTTAATTTATCGACTTTCAGTGTTAAGAGCTTGTGAGTGTAATTGATTTGTTGGTTTCGTTTTCTATTTAACCTTTGGAATGTTTTAGAAAGGATTTATATATTAATTGTGTTGCTTAACTTCAAACAAAGGTAATATGCATAGCTCTCAGTTAAAGTGGAAAAACAATTCTGAACAAAATTTCTAATTTGATTTATAAACAAATGTTTTATTAACCGACTTTCAAAAAGGAGAAGCTTCTCAATTCGTCGGAATCTTTTTTTATATTAAGATTAGTTCACACTTCACAATAATTGAGTTTATAGTTAAAAAAACGTCTAAATGCGAAAAAGTCATGAATATAAATAGATTTGTCGTAATTTGTTGATATAAGTAAAAGATTTTTAAGTCATAGAAAATACTAATTATTTATTGCATTGTTTTTTTTTTTATTTGAAGTTATGCAACAGATACTTTATAACTAATTACGAGTGATTGGTTAAAACCAATACCCCATATGATTAGAGGCTGTGTTGTAACGGCTCTGAGTTAACGTATATATATACATTTCAAGTTACTTTCAATATATTATTCAAAGCTTTTAAAGCTTGAAAAAAGCTCAAATAAACTTACATAGAAAAATAAATTTAATTCTAAAGAAATTCTAGAAAATTTTATCGAATACGTCAAGCGCAGAGCCGCCGTCGCACGTCCCCTACTCTTGGAAGATAACAATACGCATTGAAACAGGTGCCAACTCACTCGCTGAAGTGTAGACCAGCATTCTTCCAGCGTCCGCTCGCTAATACTCTGACCGGATCGCGCTTGTTGCTAAATAAAGAGAAATAAATTAGCATTAATTCCTCATATATACCACATATACACTTGGAAAGCTCACTTTCTATAATAGATATCGCTAAAATCGATAATAATAAAATCTGGGAACGACTTTTAATCAAGTGAGAATGTTTAGTTTCAGACATTTCAGTTTTCTATTAACGATAACTATTGTAGAAAGTCATCTTATCTTGTCTGTAATTTAATAAATATATAGTGAGTAATAGGAAAACTATCGAGTTAAAGATCTATAGTAAGGGATTTCGAAGGATAGGTAGGTACTTTGTTACGCAACCGTTATTATATTTATAAATGTGAATCGATTTTGTTTGTTCATTGAGAAAGAAAATGCATAATTTTTAATAAGGGCATAAGTGTATTTATATATTAATTTATAGACTCTTTTTGATTTATTCATAACCCCATTAAATCAATAAAATAAGAAATAAGAGAAGTTTAGTGTTATTTAGACTTGATAAGAAGGAAAAAATAAGGTGCTTAGAAGGTTAGAATGAAGTAGCAAGTGATAAGTGTGATCTCAAAATATAGAATTAAGTTAATATAGCAATAAAAAATTATAACAATGAGCTTTATCGATGAAAATATGAAATGTGGTAAATGTAATGAAAAGCTTAATAAAAGAAATATATTTTCAAAAGATAAAGCTCATCTTAAAGCGCAGACAAAAGAACGGAAATTCATTCGAAACTAAACTGGCAAAATTCATCTTTTTAGTCATTATTTTTGATGTGACGTTTGCTTGTATTAGTTTTACCAATAATGATTTTTAAAATTATTCTACTATAGGTATTTTATACCAGCGACCTACACTCGCTTCGTTCGGTGCGTCCCTAGGTACGTTTTAGTTTTTTTAGCAAAACCCTAATTCTTTTTCTAAAACAAAAGTAGCTTAAGTTACTCCTTATAACAGCAGCTATCTGCCAATGAAAGTTCCGTCAAAATCACTTCAACTATTTCAGAGATTAACCGGAACAAACAGACGGACAAAGACAAAAATATGAAAAGTTGAAAATATATAATTTCAATGCATTTAGTAAAAAGCTGTTATTTTGACATTACAAGCAGACGTTTTAATTTTATTTATCTGTATAGATTTGTACGAAATTTGATTGCGTCTAGCTCAACCACCAGGTTGGAAAGAAAATCCTTCATTTTTGGGAAGAATCCGCGTAAAAAAATCATCGATACTTAGATATATAGAAAATAAATAGAAAATATCTTGTTATTTCCTCAACAGTATAATCATTCTGTCATACCTACTTAGAAAATATCTTACAACTTTAAAGTTATTAAAAGAAGTAACGAAGCTCATAATTATACGGTTTTAGGTCAATTGAAGGTTAAAATCTCATGAGTGTAAACTCTATAAGTAATAAAATAAAGTATTTTTATTTGAAACACTAGTGGCTGCCCTTGACTTCGTCTTATTTATATGATTTTTATTAGGTATGGATACTAGTCTGCAGTACTAACAGATATCAATATTAGAAGGCTTAAGTGGGTTTTTATATGCAGATATAAAATTATAATGCATATATTATAATACTAATTTATAATACTACTCGTAATAATTAAAAATAATTTTAATTAAATAACTACTTTGTAATAAACATGTTACTTTTTCATCGGAATATTATAATTTTGAATAGATAGAAAATAATACGTCGAATAGAAAACTTCGCTTTTTAAGTCAGCTAATAGATATCGTTTATATAATACGATCGTTTATATATGCGATAAACCTGCACAGTGGCATTTAGGCATCACGGCGGCTATTTTCGAACACTTAAGTTTTATGCAAAATGGTTTAGTATATAAATAAACATGTATATTATTACTATGTGATTGTAGCGTGAGTCTAACATTATAATAAATTTTTAACGATTAATAGATATCTCTTTATTTCTACCGATAGTAATCTGTACATTCAATATTTTTCGGAAAATCTTATTGAAATAGTCATTATTATCGAGACAGAGGCCGAATTTAGTTTTTAGAATGTTTGTCTGTCTGTCTGTCTATCTGTCTGTCTGTCTGTCAGCGCATCACGAGAAAACCACTGGACAGATTTTGGTGAAATTTGGTATGATGATAACTGGGTATCCTATATGTTGAATAGGATACTTTTTAGTACGCGACAATATCTCATCTCTGAGAAATCTATATTGACCCTTAAAATGTATCTAGGGACTTGAATAAGTAAAGTTATAGGTTATTTAACATCACACTACGGCTCTTAGAAACGATGATATTATATGCAAAAAAACTTTATAAGTAAAGCCCTTTAAAAGTGTGTATACTCTGGTGAATTATAATAATATTTGATTAAATAATAAGTATGTTACGAAAAGAATATAGTTATTATTATTATAGCTAAACTCGTTTAATTTATTTAAAATAATTTAAAATGCTTATACGAATCTTTAGAAACCCTTTATTTTGCATTTAGGATTTTTATTACGAATTTTAATTATTTGAAAGTTTTTATCGATTTCTTAATACTATAAGCCGACTTGATAACATATATTCTATTATTGAGTATACTGACAGTTATACATATATTTATATGTTATATGTAGGTATGTAATTAGTTACTACCACCTAGTTCATACACGCGATGATTCTATTTTTTGTAAAATATTTTTCTTTTTTTTAATGGTTAGTAGCTATTGACGAGCTTTAGTGTTACCAATAAAAAATCGGAAATAGTTACTTTTTTATATAGATAGATAAATTATATTTATATATGTATGTTCTCCTCTAATTTTCAATAATGATTAGATGTTTGAATGTTTGTTACCCAATAATGTTTAAACCATAAGAGTTTTGAATTAAATTCACTCCACAGGTTAATTTTTATCTAATAAATTTGTTTTTAATATTACGAGTAAGTTTACCAATATATGGTATTTTGCAAGATGTTAAAAAACATTTATCGTGCAAGCGAAGCCACAGACTTTTAGTTAGCTCGTAAAATATAGAGTTAGCTATCTCTTTGAAATCAACCATAATTGACATGTGGGTTCTAATAACTAAGTTTAATTGTTAAATTGACGTAAAGGCATTTTTTGATCTAAAAGTTTAAGTTTGATTGGGTTTTAGGACTTTTACTTGTTTTACTTTAGACGTTACGTAACAGCTATAATAGATAATCGCGTCGCTTTTTACATATAATATATTTGTTTGTTCGTACGTTGTGTTAAATGCGAGAATTCCATCTATTTTTTTATTAATTGACCATTGATTATAATATAAGCAAAATAGTTACAACCAACTTTATAAAAGAAGTTAAAAATGCGATATTGTTTTTAATAAAATCATTTGTTTATGAGTTATGTGGGCTAAAAATTAACCATTTTGACTGTATTATCGTTTGAAATTAAATTTTCGAATGAATTTCCAAGCATACAGAAGGAAGATAAGATAAGAAAAGAAAGTAAGAAATAATTACATCGATATTGAGGCTATTCAGGAAATTTACCAATGCGAAGGGCAGCACGTTGCGGTCGCCCATAGGGGCTTCCCCGGACGGCGACTGCTGCGGCTGTAGCAAGAACTTTCATTATAACATAGATTAAAAATAATATATTAGATATTTCCTTTGAAAATAATTTAAAGTAAGGTATTTATCTGAAATTAATAATAATTAAAATAATATTTATAATGAAATATAATTTTGTTATATAAGCAAAAATTATGAATAATTATTTGTAACTTGATTCTATTTAGTCTATATCGTTTCCGCTGAACCCGCACAGTGCACATTTATATAATATGATTATTGCGGTATTTCGTAAAAATTACAACGACATGCACATGCATTTTGAAATCAAAAAAATATAAACATGCAAACATAAAAAAGAAACAAAAAAATAAGCTTAAAATATGTAACCGTCTTCAAAATCTAGAAAATTAAAATAAAACTATCTTTTCGGATTTTTTAGAGACGGAGTCTCACCCGTGACCATGATTGATGTAAAGCAAACGAAAAGTCAAGAGCCAAAAATGAAAATAAATCCGCGAAAAAACCCGAAAAGGTCTTATTAAAAATAAGCTATTATCAAGAGAATTAAATTGAATTTATTGAAAATGTGAAAAATCACGTAAATATAAGAATTTTTGAATTAATAGAAATAAATTATTGTAAAACAGTTTCATTTATCGATAATAATTCTTTTGTAGACGACTATATAAAATCACTGAACAAACAAAAACTTCAAAATACCAAAATCTTAAAGCACAAATAAAACACGGCAACCAGTTGTAAGAAAAAGGTATAAAAATATTATTTACATCGACTTTATTGATTGATGATAGTAAATTTACCAGCGCAAAGGGCACGAGGGAACGCTCGCTCATGGTCGAGTCGGCTGATGGAGACTGTTGTTGCTGATCCAACGTACGTACGGACGGCGTGGAAAAAAGATATGTATATATTAATTTTTCGGACATATAAAATCTCAATTTGATAATTTCAGAAATTTACTGTCATAATATATACTTTAATATAGTTAAGTGTTATTTATTCAAATCATATTTATTCTACGCACAACAACATTTGTATTTCATAAAATTATTTTCTCTAAAACAACTATCTATCTCATGTCATAAATAACATTCATATTTTGTTAGCAAACACTCCAACTGACAAGCGAGGGCCGTAAAAATATTAATAAAACAAGTTTTAATTAACCGTTGATTGAAAAAAGCAACCACTAAAGTTCAACTCCGCGTCGAACCGTTAAATCTCTATTTATTATAAAAACTTCTATGAATGCGAATATGAATATCGAGAACCGGTTTAGATCAAACAATGCTAAAACAAAAAAATCGGAACAGATTCGCAGTAACAAATAACTGTCAACACCCCTTCCGTGAAACAAAGCGCGCCGAAAAATATTACAAAAAATAAAATTACAATGAGCCCCTAATCCGAGTCGTGGGAAACCGACAAATGCAAGGTAAGCGAATCTGAAACTAATTTAAAAAGTAATTTTTGTCTTTCGTTTTCAAATTTTAATTTAAAAACACATGCACTGCAGTTAGCATTCATTTAACTAACAATGACAATTTAAAATTTTTCAAATTACAGACCTAAAATATACGTTTATCGAGTCTAATGATTAGGCAATTTAATACGACTAAATAGGCTGCAAAGTTTTCAATTTTTGCCTTCTTTAAAATGGAAAAAACCTATAACGTACAAATAAATATTAACCATATGCCCAAAACAAACATTTGTTACAAATGATATAGAATTTTAAAATATTCGAGTAATGTCATCGTGTTAATAGAATTATCACTGATTATATTATTTTACATATCCTTTGTAAAACCGGATGCAACAGAAGGACAAAAACGATTTAATAATAAGTTTGACGGCCCTTAACCCTTTCTTAACAAAAGCTTTACAATATGTTGCTTTTGCGTCTTGTCTTTTTTTAAGGAAGTAGGGATCATTCAAATTTGGAACGGGTTTTTAGACCTCTGAGGTCAGTCTATCGATATGTTTTGGAGAAGATACACGCTCGTAACAAATTGTAAAATTTATAAAAAATATATTAGTAACATTATATTTATTTTCAAAGTGCATTAAGAAAATTATTTAGTATTAGTGAATTTTAAAGAAAATATGTGAAAACGATCAATAACTGGTATTTCTTTTTATTTATACTAAAATATTTTATTAATAATTTAATATTAAAATTTTAATTTTGATTTAGAAAAAATCTATATATACTTAATTAACATTTAGGAAATATTTATTCGATCATAACTTGTAAGGTTGCCGGCGGGACTCGTAAGACAGACTTTATCGTAGGTACGTGCATAGATACTATTTACAACTTCACGAAAAAAGAACATAAAGTAAATTATTTTAATTTCTATTTTAAATATTTTGCTATAATTATTTTAATTAAACATCAAAACTGAATTAAAAGTGCATAAAAATAATTAAACTTATCAACATACTATTGGCAATCCTAAAAGTTTCTATTTTATAACACCCCCTAATCTAATGTAGAATGAAAATAACTCACCTGAATTTCACTGACAAGTTTCTCCGTCATCATTTTGTGATCAGGAGTGGCAGGTGGCTGAGGAGTGGGAGGCGCAGGGCCTGGCTGGTTGTTCTCCACCTGCTCCTGCAGTGGTGACCCTGGGCGGCTTCGGTTCCAGAAATCCTGCATCTTAAACCTCTGTGCCTCCGTCTGTAAGGTTGGTATGTGAAGGGACAGAGGTGCAGCGCGAAGGTCTAAGGCACTGCCTCCAGCAGCAGCCTCATTGCCTTCTGCCGCTGTCATCTTGAAGGAGTTATGCAGCCAACTGGCCACAAAGTTCTCTTCTTCCTTGGGCGGCTCCAGGAGTCGAGGGAACGGCGGCGCGGCGCCCGGTTCGAAAGCGCCCTCGCCGCCGACCGCCTCACCTTCTTCCGCTATTTTTGGTACTTTTGCCTCCCTCGGTGAGTCCTCTACTTCCGTCTTCCGATACTCATGGAGGTCCCTGTACCTCTCCTGGAGCGCTAGGGATATGTTCTCATTGAAGTACTTCAACATTAATTCCAGTTTCGGGCGTATCGTCACAACGAATTCATGCGATGGTGCGCGCCGCACGGATCTGCAAAGAACGGGCCGGTCAGTTCGCGGGTTCGAGCTACTTCGCGGTCTGTTTACGGAGGGATCGGGAAAGCGGAAGCGAGACCTGTTCGAGGCGCGGGCGGGCGACGACTAACTTCTTGGTGGAAAACTTGAGCGCCGCGACGCTTTCTTGCGGGGCGGGGCGGACGCGCGCGCCAGGCGAAGACGCCGCTCCAACTAGCAAGACGCGGCGCCGCCCCCGCCGCCTTAGACGACGCGAAGAACATCCCCACCGAGGCCGTACGCACGCGCCCCGCGTTTTTTCCGCGGAAAAACGTGTCCGGTCAAGGAAAAGACGGTCCGGCGGCGGCAAGCAACGCCGCGGGCCTGAGCGGGGCCAGCGAGAGCGGCCGAAACCTTGCCGGACCGCTCGGACCACGGCCGAAATAAGAACTATTAAAAAGGGCGCCAAGCCACCATCACCCCTCTCGCTCGCCCGACCCCGACCGCTTTACACCCTCGTGTTAGAAAAGGACAGATACGGCATTTTTTTCTAAGCCGCTATTAGTGAGGGAGGAAATAGAAAAGAATGGGTTCTTTCTGATTTTTTTTCTTATTGCTCCGTCTCGCTCTTTCCGAGGGGTTTTGTATAGCGCCGTTTTGTTTTGAGTTTTTAAGTATTTCTTTCCGTTCCGCCTACTTTACTATTGAATTTTTTTCGTATTCAGGCGGAGCTTAGCTCACGAGGTTTAGCCAACGGCCTCTAATTGCTACGTTTTTTCCTCATTTTTACCTAACCTTTGAAATTTTTATAAGAATGAGTACACCTAACATTTATTACGACTTTAGAACTTTTAATGTTTGAAAGATAGATAAGTAAATTACTATACAATATAATATGTAGATATTAATAATACTCATTTATGTACTAAGTAAGCTCTTGTTCGATGAAGACTAATTTTTAATCTATATCATTAAATATTTTCGAAGTGAACGTCTTAGATTTTTACTGCTACGTGAGAGCGGTGGACGAGTTTTCCACGCATAAACTTCTCTCCTCGCTACCCCACGCCAGATGGCGTAGCTCGCTACGAAATTGCCTACGCTAATGATATTAAAGTACAAACATAATTTAAACTGCTTTTATTTTATTGTATTGTTAATGTATAAAAATATTTATGGAATACCTAATTCTCTTTAAAAAATATTATATAATTAATAATAAACCTTCTTTTTATTTTAAGATTATTGTGAAAATTTTGAAATATTTGATAATATTTATTGTCATCTCTTACCTCTATATTAAAAAAAATTAATGTCATAGCTAAAATCAAATCATAATTCTTTTTTTTATCACTTTCCTACTATTTTATTATCAAAAGATATACAACTAAAAAATTAAAATAAAATAACACATAAAATTAGCAGTAATTTTTTTGATGAAGTTATAACTGCCTCAGGCGGAGTCATGGTCAGATCATTTAATGATATGTACAAATGATAACATTAATACATAATAACAGGCGTGGCCACAATGTATGGGAGTGGTTTTTTTTCACGGTATGTAACCACGATTGTTTTAATAGAGGCGGCGTAGGTTTGGGTCGTTAGAATACTGCCAATATGAAATGTACATTTAATGACCTATCATTAACTGTTGTGATACATATGTGCAAAAATATTTTTCTGCTATCATTTTTATGTTTATTAATTGTAAGTACCTACTTACATATATATGCAAATAAATCGTTTTAATTTTATAGGTGCTTCTTTCAATTTCTCGTTTGAATCTAAATTCAAAGAATTGTAGTTATTCGTAGGTACATAATATAACAGTTAACAAAAATAAATCTTGGTATACGTAAGTGTTTTGTTTTCATTTATTGTTCCTACACGAACCAATAGTCTCGATTAGAACCTTAGAATAAGGGTTCGTATCTCAGTCAAAATAATTATACAACAGATTCATAAAACAACCCCTACCGCGACGCAAACCTGCTTTACTTCTAAATGAACCTTTCTCTAATACACCGATCATTAAAATATTTGGCATGTTCAAAATACGTAAATTAACAATATATAAAACAGTTACATTAAAATTATGTTATGGAAAAAAATCTTTGTTTCATTACAGAAGATATTAACTCAGAAGTACATGAAATCGATCTACTTACTTACCTATACGAATAAACTTAACGTAAAATAATTTATTATTAATAGATATAGGAAACACATTTCATAAATATACAATGTAGAAAAATATTAATTATTTTTATTATTATAATTGTTAAATTACAGTAGCTCAGTTCAAGTGAATATTATTAGGTTGTTGCAGAAATCTAAGATTCAAACCCTACGTACAGACTCAAACCTAAATAAAGTTTTACTCAAACCTAATATAAAGTTTTCCTTCGCATTTTTCTTAAAGGTCAAATAAACTAATCTATATGTAAACAGGCACAGATAAAACAGTTCTTTTTCTCCTTTGTTATTTTATTTTAGTAGCTATTGATTTGATTATTTTATCTTAGAAGCTATTGACGAGCTTTAATGTTATCAGTCTTATATAAATAAAAATGAATGTTGGTAAGCGTAAAACTCAAGAATGGCTGGACCAATTCAGCTAAATTTTTTTTAGTATGTTCCTTCAGGTCCAAGGAAGGTTTTAATAAAGAGAAAAAATGAAAAATTAAGGAAAAAGAAATTATAGGGCTAACGCTAGCTAATAATTATTTATATTTATTGAAAACGTACCTAGCGATGAACCCGAGCGAAGCGAGGGTGAGCCGCTAGTTAAAAATAAGAAACTTTTAGTATTTTTAGGTAATTTCCGTTCATATTTAGAATTTTCAATATTAGACCACTAGGCAAATTCTTGTATATATTTTTAATTTAAAATTTTGTGTTTGATGTAGGTATCTATTGTATGAATACTTTTTAGTAGATATATCTATTATCCACCCTTACCTCAAAAATCGAAAGCTTCATAGTAAATCTACGCGTGAACTGTTGTTGAAAAGTTCGAACAGTGAATTAACTTAAATATAAGAATAACTATTCTTTATTGCACTTTAAAAAAAATCAATACAGTAATTTAAAATCAGTTGTTATTTACAAAGGTGGACTTATCTCTAGAAGAGATCTCTTCCAGCCAACCTGTGGTAGTGAGAAATAGTGTTACAAAGCGGGCTAAATACGTGCAGTCGTAGTTATATAAATAATATATAGATACTCAAAAATATATAGCTAATTAAATAATATATATAATAACATATAATATACACTACTTACTTATACCATACATACTTATATACATATATACATACACACTACTACTTACATAAATACATATCTATATAATACAATACATAATAATAGTAATTAAGATAATTTTTGATTTAATTGAGTGAGAAGGTGCTGTTTTAATTTTTTTTTGAAAGAATCAATAGAGGGACTAAGTTGGATTTCTTTAGGAAGTTTGTTCCAGAGCAAAGCGCCATACACCGAAAAAGAATGCAAGAGGAACTTTGTGTTGCTCTTGGGTATATCAAGCGTCGCAGTGATGCAAGGCCGCCTGGAACGTGAAGGAGTAGGGAGTATTTGGAAACGAGAACGGAGGTATGAAGGAGAATTAGGGTCATTAAGAATATTGAAAAGGAACGAAAGGATGTGCATATCACGGCGAAGGCGGATTGGGAGCCATTTAAGTTGAGCACGAAAGTTTGATATATGGTCATGCTTACGCAAGCCAAAAATAAAGCGTATAGCGAGATTTTGGAGACGCTCTAATTTGTTGAGTTGCTCCTCAGTCACATCTAAATAACACACATCGGCGTAGTCAAGTATGGGGAGAAGGAGTGATTGAGCTAGCATAATCTTGGTTGTAAAAGGGAGAAAAAATTGGAGACGTTTGAGAGAGTGGAACGTGTGATGCATTCGTTTGCTGACCTCGTTGACATGAGCTACCCAGGTCATGTTACAATCCATTATTATATATATATAGGTAGTTAAGCAAAGTCGATACGTAAATGTCACGACGGTCGTAAAATAAATAATTTAGCTCAGTCCATATTTAAATAAAATAGCTAAGATCGACCAAACCAAATAAAATCTGTTCGCATATAACCTACTTAGATGAAAAAAAAGTAATAGACATTTTAAATAAAACTATATTTTTCTATTTTTTGGCTGAATATTTACATTTAGTTTCCAATGTTTCGACTGCTTGACAGCAATCATGGTCACGAGAGAAACTAGGTCTCTAGTTAAAAAAATATTGTTTTATTTGTAAGCTTTTACTGTTTATCATAATTAAATGATAATTAAGTACCTACTATATACATTGAAAATGCACTCGTGTGGCTAAAGTAGTATTGAAGAAGAATATAATCAAAAAACATAAAAGCCAATCCGAAGTAAGCACCCTTCATGTAAGCTGACCATCTGTTATTAGTTTATGATATAATGGAGAAATAAAATACAGACGCGTCAAGTTTAAACAATATCCGGTCACATAAAATTTGGCCTCTTCTACTGTAAAACAGTTTGTTAGGGGTGCTGCTTAAATAATTTTTTACTAATGAATTCTTTCGCTTTCTTTAAAGTTGGTCTAACAGGTAGATATATCAACATGACGTGCTGAATATATCAATAATTTATACTTACCTACATATTTATATAAAATATATTGAATACCGTCGTGGCGTAATCTTACTTTAATATAAATAGAAAGATATGTACGTATGTCCCTTTCGTAATATATTATGTATCTAGTCAATACAATCAAAAATCCCGGTCAGGGGATGAACTCGGATGAGCTTTCACCTCAACAGTTTTCGCCACTAGTATTGGTACTAACATGATGTAAGCTATTTAAGAGCTATGCTGCTTTTTGTTAATGAAATTAATTTGTTAAATGTCATATTTATTGATGAACTGAAAATGACATGGAATAACATAGGTATATTTTTTTTTAAATTATTTGTTTATAGAACATAATCTTAGGATAAAATTCATCATATTGTGATCTGGGCATTCAAGCATTGTTCGGCGTTTTTCGGTAAAGATATAAAAATTGTGTTTTTTTCAGAAAAGATACCTATATAGATAAACTTAAAAAGCAAAATTTTATCTAAGTACAAAATTTTACCCAAATCGATAGAGCTATTTCTGAGATACATACACAAAATAAATGGAAATATAGTTATATATGTATGTAGCTTTAGCCTCATAATTAAGTAATGATATGGAAAAGTTTGATATTAAGATATATTCTAGTACAAATTGGCTCTACTTCAAACATTTTTCTCACACTTCGTAATTGTAACAGTTTTTAAGCACGGCACAGCAATGTGACCTTTGTAGCCCATAAATAGTTAAATGTAGGTAAACTACTAACATTTAAGCAAGATTTGTTCAAGCATGTTGATATCGATTGCAGATTATGCGATATAATGGTTAAAACTCTAAATAAAATGAGCAAGAGAATTTGCTAACATAATAAATGGTGTAAATGTAAATAAGTGAATATATGTAGGAATAGAGGATGCATTTC